TTGAAATGTTTAGTTTTCTCAAGAAAACCTCTTTGAGTGAAGGTGTTGATAAATCATGTACTGGCGGTAGCATTTAGTGCGACCTCTTCGTGCTTGCTGTTATATAATAGAACTTCTAATCCGTCAATTCTTAAAGCAAACCGTGGATTGCCTTCGCCATCAAAAATTCACAAGTTCAACAACCACTGCCAAACAAAATAAGCTCAGTGATTTTCTTTCGTGTACTTTCTCTCACTATTACTTCGTCTCACGTAATAAATGCAGCCCTTTTCTAAGTAACGAAATGAGTGGATAAATGTGAGAAAAACAACAGGAAAATATCTAGCTACTTCCGAAAAGAATACCGCTTTTTATGTCCCAAACAGCAGACTCAAAGGCAGATTCACAACAGCGATGTATGTAAACACCAGTAATCACTCTAGTATGTAAACAGAACTATCAGGAAATTTAAGGAACTGAGAAACCCCAATCGAAACCAAACACAAAATTTTTTCTATTTTGCAGCAAGGAGCGTTAGCTTTACAATTAATGGATTTAACCTGCCTGTTAACATGATTTGGACATCTCGAGATAATGTCGCGTCTCAGCTCCCAGGAATTTTAAGAAGCGGTGCGGCAGTTCGATCGTTCGTGCAACGTCTGCTGATGCAGGCAGTGAGTTTTGTAAAAAAAAAAGTCGGCTTTCCGTTGCAGCACTTTCTTCGGGTCTAATGGCATGGCTAATGCTGATCACTTCAATTTCAAAGAGGCTTCTTTAGGTAACTGATGTACTGGAGGAACAAGGTCGTCGTGCTGGCCTCTTTCCTGATGTGATATTTGCCATTTTGGCCCAGCTTACTGTGCAAGCCAATTACGATCCGCTTCAGTGCGATAATGTGCTCGTCAATCCAGCTATAGGAGCTATGATCATGGGTTAGTGCTTAATTCTGCTTCTCAGTTTCAAACCACCGTGGAATGCTGTCAAAAAAACATACGACAGTAAGACACGCGTAGCAACAAATTTCCACAGTTTGCAAGGAGATTGCTATCTAACAATCTTAACAAGTTTGATGTAACGGCTCACAGCTCGAGGACGTGAGGGGCCTTCGCGGGAGTGCGCAAAAACTATCAACCGTTTGTGATGTACCTCAAACTTGGGTAATTAAACCTTTATTAGTATACACATGCTATTTACACAACAACGCAAGGCAATATACAACTACTGTCCAACAACTGTGAATAAGGTGGTTCAGTGAGTTTGTTACCTAACAAAACACATTAACAATAGTACACACACCAATGTAACGGCTCACAGCGCGAGGACATGAGCGGCTTTCGCGAGAGTGCGCAAGAACTATGAACCGTTTGTGAGGTACCTGTGAACAATGAATGTATTTAACTTATGTTAACACGGATAACATAATTACACGAAAGACGATGATAACACTAATGTGTCAGCGATTCACGGGCTAAGGGCTACATATACTATCATTATAACCTAAGCAAATGAATCTACAAAGTGAAATTAACGGAGTGGAATTAACGATGGGGCTGGCAAGGACGGTCTCGACGGCGTCGTTGCGTCGAATGGCGGGACTACTGGGTGTGTCCCATGGCCGGAACTGGATATGGACGCAGAGGATGCGAGCGGCGTTGCAGCCACGCGATCCCCATCGATCCGTGAACTGTATTAGTTATACGGATAGAGAATTCTCTATCTGATTGAGGAATTCTCTATTGTTCCCCACCTCAATAGGAGTGGGCAGGGCGGTGACTGAAGTTGTACGTTGAGTGAATTTTTCTGATTGAAGGTCATAGTGGTGGCACAACGATTCGCGTTCTTCTTGACCGTTTTCCTCGGAATGCTTTTTCGGATCGTGATCCTCCTCGAGTTGCGGAGAGCAACATCTTTGGCCGATTGTAAGCACGTTGTTGTCACGTGATCGAGGTCGGAGATTATAACGTNNNCAGGGCGGTGACTGAAGTTGTACGTTGAGTGAATTTTTCTGATTGAAGGTCATAGTGGTGGCACAACGATTCGCGTTCTTCTTGACCGTTTTCCTCGGAATGCTTTTTCGGATCGTGATCCTCCTCGAGTTGCGGAGAGCAACATCTTTGGCCGATTGTAAGCACGTTGTTGTCACGTGATCGAGGTCGGAGATTATAACGTTGATCTGGGGCTGCGCTATGCGGACTGCTGTTCGGCAACTCCGTTTCATCATTTGTGCCGGACCGTTTCTCTGCCGGACTGTCTTCCAGCTCAAGCGGAATTAGTAAGTTAATTGGTCTTCTTATGATACGTCCGCTCTGTAGCTTGAGTTGTGCTTCTCGGATTGNTTCGGCGACTCCGTTTCATCATTTGTGCCGGACCGTTTCTCTGCCGGACTGTCTTCCAGCTCAAGCGGAATTAGTAAGTTAATTGGTCTTCTTATGATACGTCCGCTCGGTAGCTTGAGTTGTGCTTCTCGGATTGCACCCGTTTCTGTTTGCTTCAAATCGATGATGCGCGCCATTCTCCACGCGTTTCGTGGCAAAGCTGGATCTTGAATTAGTACAACCGTCCCTATGGTTGGGTTCGTTCGAGTGCCTCGTTTGTTATTTATATTGAGTTTGTGAGTTTCTCGGAGACCTTTCAAGTATTCACGGCTCCAGACGTTCCAGTAATGTTCTGTCAGTTCACGACTTGATGCGAGGGCATCCTGCACTTCCTTTCGCGTGCGTAGTAATACTGCTTCTTGATGTGGTAGATACGTCTTATCATGTTCTTCTTCTCTGCTGAATTCAAATGGATATGTTATTATCATGTCACGCTGGATAAAGTCTATTGGTCGCAAGGCAACGAAGTTGTCGGGGCCTTCTTCTTGGTATGTGAGAGGTCGACTGTTAAGATTTCCCTCTATTTCTACCAGCAGAGTTTCCAATTCTTCCGTTGTTGGGATCGTCTTTTGCAATACTTTGTATAGAGAGTACTTAACTGACTTTATAAGACGCTCCTCCCTGCCACGGAGCATACGGCGTAATTGTCCTCCATGTTACTCCTCTCGTTGCCATTGTACTTGCTAGTGACGAGTCTTTACTAACGGGAAGAACTGTGTCTTGCAGAATTTGCTCGCTCAGTAGGAAATTAGATGCATTATCAGAGGTGATAGTTTTGGGCACTCCTCGTCTAGCGAAAAATCGCCTTAAAGCTACCAGGAAGTCATTCGTCGTCACGTTCTTTACGAGTTCTAAATGAAATAGTCTGGTTGTCGCACATGTTCTGATGATGCCGTAAACCTTTGTCGTTCCCTCACTATTCTTCGCTGTTAGTGGTCCGAAATAGTCCGCACCTACATGCTCGAACGGTCTCGATCTTCTCACTCTTCTTTCCGGCAGGTCGTCCATCGGCGGATAATTGTACGGGAAACTATTCATCTTTTGACAAGGTAGGCATCGTCTTATGACTTTCTTAGCAATTTGCCTTATGCTTGTCATCCAGAATCTTTCACGTGCCTTGGCTATGGTATGGCTTGTTGCATTATGGAATGGGAGATGTGCCTCAACAACTATTAATTCTGCTAGTGCTGTTTTTGAGCAGATTAGAATAGGTTGCTGAGTTTCACGTGGCAGGTCTGCTTTATTTAATCTGCCTTTGCATCGAATGAGTCCCCATTCATCCTGATATGGTTTCAAATGCTTGTAATCTTTCATCGATCGTGAAGAAAGGTGAACTGTTTGGTGGTTTCGTATCAAAACTCGTAAGGCTGCTTATTGCTCTATGGCCGTAACGTATGTTTCTGTTGACATTGCCTGGAGCTCCGGGATGTTCTTGTATATTCGGCTGCGCAGTTCCTTCGGTAGCTTGGAGCTGGATCTGCTGATGAATCTGAGGACATATGTGATCGTTCTTTTTGCTCTTCCAAGTCTATTGAATCGCTTCCAGTCCAGTAATTCTTCGACAGGTGTAGTGGCTATTGCTGTAGTTGTGGATACCTGTGCCTTTTGTATACGTTTGTGCTCTAACGTAAAAAGGCGTTGATCATTTTGTGAGTGTGGTTCCCTAATGAATACTGGTCCTTTCCACCATATGTGGTCTTTTAGTTCGATTTTGTTTAGTCCTCTTATGGCGCAATCAGCGGCGTTTTGATCAGTGCCTATGTATCCAAATTGTACAGGTGTTGGTATATTTTCCACTATTCGGCGTATTTCCTTCATGCGGTTTTTCACCAACACCCCTGCTGAATTGTGTGCCTCGTTAGACCGTATCCAATTGAGGGCGATTTCTGAGTCCGAAAGTATAGTTATATTTGTGATAGAAGTGAGGTTGTTTAACGCTGTATATATTGAATACGCTAATCATGTTGCCAATGTTAGCGCGTTTAGTTCCAGTTTAGGAATTGTAGGGTTATCCTTGACTGATGGTAATTTAGACTTTCCTGCGAGTAGTTGTGATTCGCCATTGGTAATCATGTAGGCGCACGTGGTCATGCAGTGTTTGCTAGCATCCGCGAAGAGAATAAGTCTGCTTGAAGCTCCGATCTGAGCTATTTTTCGTGGGATGAGGGCTTCGAAGCCGTTAAAATCATCAACGATCTTTTCCCATTGGTCTTTGTGTTCTTTTGATAGGGCATTGTCCCATGTGTAGTTGAAGTTCCAGAGGCTTTGAAGGAATTGCTTCCCTCTTAGTGTGAGTGGCGTGAGCCAGCCCATAGGATCGCATATAGCAGCTACCTGTTCGGCGATTGTTCGTTTAGTTAGTTTTGATTTTGTTGGATATCTGCATGAGATAAGGAGTCTGTCTTCTGTGGAACGCCATGGGATTCCTAAGACCTTTTGTAGACTATTTGATGCCTTACCCTTTTGTGGAATTTGCTGCAGAAAATCCTTGTCATTTGAAAGAAATTCACGTAAATTCATAATCAAATCTTTGAATATCTGCTTTGCCTCTCTGTACGTCGACATTGCTTCTTGTATTGAGGCGGCTGTTAGAATCACGTTATCCACATAAGTGTTATTGATCAGATGTTCGACGAATTTAGGATCATTTTGACAGTTATTTAAATGGTGTTTAATTGTTCCTGCTAGAAGGAATGGTGAACAATTCAGTCCGAATGTAACTCGAGTAAATCTGTACACGGTTATGTTCCTTGGCTCCAAAGGTTGAAAGATGTCTCGTATCCATAGAAATCGCGTAGCGTCTCTATCTGCTTCGTGCAGCCGTATTTGTAGAAAAGCCTTTTCGACGTCGCTAATTATTGCGATATTTCCGATGCGAAACCGAAGTAAAATGTCGTATATTTTTGGTAGGAACAATGGACCCTGATGAAGTACATCGTTTAACGAGGGCTGCTTCTTGAGATGAGCAGATGCATCGTAGACAATTCTCAACTTTGTAGTCCCTTTGTTGGGTGTGAGGACCGCTTGATGTGGAAGGTAGTGTATTACCGTTCCCTTTATTTGTATTGATTCATCAACTTCTTCAATGATGTTTTGATCCAGTTGTTCCTTGATGGTTTTATGATAATTTTCGGACGTAGTTGGATCATGCTTTAGATTCGCTATCGTCGCCTGCAATCGTTTTACTGCGATGCTTTTGTTATCTGGCAACGTGTCTGCTTCATTTTTCCAAGGAAGTCGGACATAATAGCCGTCTTCCCGTTTTTCTATTGTTCTCTGGAACTCTTCCCAAATATTGTCATTCTGTTGCTGTCGTTCTTGTACGCTTGGTCCTGTGTATTCGTGGATTCCTGATGATTCCAATGACCAATACCTTTCCCATGACTGCTGCTCCGTTATGTGCTGACATGCATGTGTGGCATTCGTCATGAGAGACGCATTCTCTCTAGATGTATCAATTGGATCGTGAAGAGTTCCTGTCACGAGATATCCCAGTTTGGATGGGATTAACTTCAATCCTGATGGCAATGTCCTTGACGGAATTGCTCTGCTATCAAGCATGGCGACTGAGTCTGAGCATCCGAGAAGGATCTCTGGGTATATAGTGTTGAGATCTGGATTGATCGAAAGCTTTATTTTATGGTTCTCGAAAAATTCTGTGTCCTCTGCGTTTAGATTGAATCGTTCGAGAGGTTGCGTTATCTTATCAATTCTAGTTGCCGTAATTTCGTGCTCCGAACCAACGCATCTCTCAATTTCAACGTAGTGACTCCGCGTGTCCTGGTAATTGGCTTTGTGTCGCCGAATGTGTGAATGTTTAATTCGATGGAATCACTGTCTCGTAGTTGAAGGCGACTGGCCAGAGCATTCGTAATGAACGAACGGTCGGATCCTGTATCGAGGATCACCTCCGTTAATTCTCGTCTCGTCTTGCTAGGATTGAACACTTCCACCTGTCCTGCTAAAATTTGACTGTTGGGTGCGAGTTCTCTCCTAGTGTGAAGAACGACGGTATCCTCCGGCTG